ACGGATGCTCCATCTCTGCTCAGAATTTGGGTTACGGTACCAAGTATTTAGCTTTTTTCTTAAGATTTTATTTGACAGAGCTCACGTGAGCAGGGGAGGGCAGGGGGAGAAGTAGGGTTCCCGCCGAGCAGGGAGCCCCGTGCGGGGCTTGATCCCAGGACCCCGAGATCGTGACCTGAGCCGAAGGCAGATGCTTTACCCACTGAGCCCCCCAGGTACCCCCTTCGTTTTTGTCTGACCTGCATGAGGACTTGGGCCTTCCCCAGTTCCCCCTTGACGCCCTGCATCTTCACAGAGATGCTGTTCTTGCGCACGGCGAGGCCAGGGAGCGCAGGAGCTCGCCCCCCCCCCCCACCCCACGTCAGTGCTCCGTCCGACCAGGGACACTGTGAGGGACACAGAAGCAGCCTGTCTGTGTAGAAAGAGGCGTCTGAACCCAGTGGATGGAGGACCGCGTGCCGTCACTGCGCAGGGACTGGCGGTGCCTTCCCGGGGGTGCGGCCCCTCCCGAGCTCTGCGCTAGCTAGTGCGAGGCTGAGGCTTCGAGCAGAAAGGCCCCTGCGGCCCGGGCAGTGGGCGACTTGCGTATCCCCCGCGGGTGGGCGCACACGGCAGCTGGAGGCGCTGGGGACTCGGGAGTCGGGCGGGCCTGGCAGCATTAGCTGGACTGCCCTGGCCCGGGTGTCCGAGGGGGAAAGCTGTGCCCCTAGCGAGGACGTGGGCTCTCCAGCCGGGCCTCAGGCGGAGGTCACGCGTCCCGGATGAGCGCGCGGCCCTGCGCTTTCTCCTGGGAGCCAGGCTGTGGTGTTCAAGGTGGGGACACAAACCCGGCCAAGGGGACGGAGCGCGTTTTCTCTGCCCCCGCCCCTGCTCCCCTGTTTCTGAGCGCCCTGCGGGCGGGGGGCCGTGCCCCCGTCTCTCTCCGTAGATCCCGGGCCCCTCCAAGTGCCCCGCACACCGCTGACGCCCGCAGCTCTGGGCCGCGGGCCTCTGCTTGGCACCGTGCCGGGGACCCTGCAGGTTTGTTTTCACAGACGGACATCAGGAACCTGACCTGCCTCTGGGAGACGTGGGACAGCCACGCGTCCCCGGGGACTTTCTCCTCTGGTGTCGGAGCTGAGGTTGCCAACCGTCAGCTCAGGACGCAGGACAACCACCGGCAGGTCCTTGCCCGCTGACAGAGTCACAGCCCGGGCTCCCAGACGACCGCACTGCTGAGGGCGGGGTCTGTGTCCGCCCGTCCGCGTAGCCACAGTGCCTGGCGTGGGACAGCGGGTGAGGGACGAGCAGACGCAGAGTCCGGAGCCAGCCGTGGAGAAGGTCCCTTCGGAGAGCTGGTACTCGCCAACATGTGCGAACAGATCGTTCCGGACGGGGTGCGGTGGGGGTGGCTGCGGGGGGTGTTCTTGGTGAGGAACCGGAGTGCCTGGAAGCTGGCTGAGCTGCTGGCAGGGCTCGTGACAGTCTTCAGGCCTCTCTGCCCTGTGGGTGCCAACGTCCGTGCCGTCAGATGGCATGACGCTACGGAAAGTATCGTTAGATGTCTCTGTCCTCCCAGGAGCCCGCCTGCCCTTTGTTCCATCCAGTGAACACGCGTGCGGCCAGCAGCAAAGTGGAGAAGCCCGCCTCATTCTGCATTCGTGCCATCGGATGGTGGAGACGTCCCCTGACTGGCCGCTCACCCGCCAGGGCTCCCCGGTGGCGGCAGATCCCTTCGTGACCCTGTAATCATGCTGTAGCTCCTGCTCGGGCTGGCCCAGGCTCGGCACCAGTCAGACATCCTGACAGGTGCGTGGGTCCCCTGACCCCAGGCTTCGGCAGGCGGGACACAGAGCCCCTACCCCAGGATGAGGTGCAGGGGTGACTGGGGCCGGCCTTGAGCCTGAGGGCCACCCCGCATGCCGCGATCAGAGCACCTCCATGCTTGGGGCCCCCAAACCAGGTGCGTGTTGTTTCCCGCCCGCACCCTGCTGCCCCTTCCCGGTGGAGTTCCCGTGAGCTTGCGGGACGGGCGGGAGGTCCCCGTACAGCAGCCGCGTCTGTGGGACCCCGGAGCCCCCGTGCCAGCCGCCAGACTGACGCCCAGAGCCAGGGCTCAGGCCTCCTGCCAGTAAGCGGACGACACCCAGACTGTGACTCACCCCGTGTTACCGTTTGCTTCGCTCTAGTGGGGGAGCTTACAGGTTTGAAACCGCTGGTCCCCTTTGTCAGTAGCTAGAGTGTGACACACGTGTTGTCTTCCTGGGTCTTGTCCAGACTACGGCGATGGGAGGGATCTGGGAACCTCTTTTCTTCTAATGACCCGGAAGGTAGAATGTTCTGGAATCGACTCCAGGGTATCCGGAGCCTGGTAGTCTCCTTTCAGGACGGCTGGAGCGCCACGTCAGGAGGGTGTGGGTGGGGAGGGGATCCACACCCTTCTGGAGCTGCCCGACGCCTTCCCCTTGAGGGGACTGTCCTCACCTCGTGCCACAAGCCCAGCGAGGGGAGCGGAGGTCTTTTGTCACTTGGCGTAAGGCTCGCCTGCATCTGGAAGGGAGTAGTAACGTACTGGGCAGTGGTGGGGGCAAGAGGGCGAGACGGAAGCAGGGGTCTGCAGACGTGGGGTCAGCCAGCACCGTGACCTTGGCCTCCTCACCTCCTGGCTGGTGGTCACCTGTTCGGGCAGCTGGCGCAGACAAGGGCCCTTGGGTTTAGCGTTATTTCGGTGTTTTATGCCTGCAGCCCCAGAGCAGCTGGAGGACCCCGGACATTAACCCGGAGGTAGAACCCCCCGTTTTTAAACGTCCGCATCTTCAGTCTCCAAATTCCCTGTCGACATTAACCCGGAGTTAGAACCCCCCGTTTTTAAACGTCCGCATCTTCAGTCTCCAAATTCCCTGTCGACATTCACCCGGGAAAACGTTTCCTGTAACTTGTAACCCTCCCAGTCACGGAGATCGCAGAAGGCGGAACCACCAGAGCGAGAGGCCACACTTCAGCCGTGTCTTTGGTTCGTGTTAAAGTAACTCAGTTCTTGCCCGAGAAATCCCCGAGTCCGTTCGGCCCACCCCGGAGACTTTATTTCCACACGACACAAACCCAGAGTGCGGGCCCCTGGGGCCACAGAAGCCCTCTGTGTGTGGAGCCAAGGTTTGGCAGCGGGAGGTACCCCGTGCCAGGACCCCGTTTTCTATCTTTTGTACTTGCATGTGTCTCAGATGTGAGACGTGTAGTCCGTCAAAACACGTAAAGTGCAGAAAGAGCTTCCTCACCGAAGTGATTTTTTTTTTTTAAGGATTTATTTATTTACTTATGAGACAGAGACCACAAATAAGCAGAGAGCGTGGCGAGGGCAGGGGAAGCAGGCTCCCTGCCCTGGAGCCATGACCTGAGCCCAAGGCAGAGGCTTTAACCCACTAAGCCCCCCAGGCGCCCCTGATTTTCTGCATTTTAATTTGGAGCCAGTTACAGGGACGGTGGTTGACCACGGACTTCAGTCAGTGCATTTCCTTCCCAGATGACGCCTGAGAGCAGACGCCCTTCGCCCCTTTCCCGCCTCCTGCTGGTCTAGGGGGGGCAGTCGTGGTCCTCGTCACAGAGGGGACAGCACGAGGACCTCTGTGACGAGGATCAGGGACGGCGGGGCACACGGCCCTTCCACACAGTCCAGGCCACCTGCATCCGGACGGCTTATCAGGTAAGACAGACCGGGTGAGCCCTAGAGCCACCGTCGTGACGTAGGTCCAATAGAGGGACACCATGTTCAGCCCACTGAGTGTTCATGGTCTTCTGTCTGGGGCTCAAGGGAACAGGTGTATTTAGCCCTTGGGGGAGGACGTTTCCGACGTGAGACTGAACTTTTTCAAAATTACGTCTCTTGATGGGAGGGGATGCTGCGGGGACCCTGGGCTCCACACTCTCTCAGCGCTAATGTCAGAGGACAGTTGGGAAAAGAACCTGTCTCATCCCTCCTTCCCTGAGTTCCCTACACATCGCTTTCCCCCTGAGCTGATAAGTGACACCGGTGAGGGATGACAGCCACCTATGCTCAGACCTTCCCTCAGCGTGGGTGGGTCTGGTGTGTTGTCTGTCACAGTGGGTCGTGTAGGGGGGGACGGGGAGCCTGTAAGCCTGTCTGCACGGTACAGGCCGCCGACCCTCCCGGCACCTGCTCATGACGCCGGCCAGCTGTCCCTCCTCGCACGCCATTCCTCCTTCTGCGTCCGTTGTCAGGATGAGCCTCCCCTTCTCTCCATCCATGTTAGTTATTAGTACAAGTTCCTAGAGTCTTTGTGCTCTGACCGTGGTTACAAGAGCCAGAACCACTGAACGTTCTGGTATGTTCTGAGACTCAGGGTGCCCCAGATCTGTGAGGCAGCCGCAGTGCACACCAGCCCCAGTCCTTGCGTTCGCCCTCTCCTTGCTTCCGGCCACTGCCGTACTTCCCCAGTGTCCCCTCTGTGTACTGTCCCGGCACTGGACTCCACCGTTCCTCCAAGGACGTGCTCCTTCTAAGTAAGGGCTGGTACGTGGAAACGAGGCGATGAGATGTGCTGGTTGTGCGCAGACCGTCCCGACCTCAGACCCTCCTGCCTACAGCACCGGCCCCGCCCGCCTCGGGCAGTGAACACGGCGCACGGCATCGGCAGTGACACGCGCTCCAACCTTCCGTGTGTACGAACCAGGCTTGGGATCGCTTCATCTATGGGGCTGCCCAAGCACCCCTGCCGCAGGGTGGCAGCTTGTGTTCTGTGCCTCAGCCTGAGGGCGTCTCCCCGAGAGTGGCCAGATCCAGTGCCCTTCCCCACACCATGATCGGGTCCTTCTCTGGAGAACAGTTGGCCACTGGCCATTGCTGCTGTGGACATTCCGGTCACTACATCTGTATCTCTAGGGTAAATACCCAGTGGTGCGATGCTGGGTCATAGGGCAGCTCCACTTTCAACTTTCTGAGGAACCTCCGTGCTGTTTTCCAGAGTGGCCGCACCGGCCTGCGCTCCCACCAGCAGTGCAGGAGGCTCCCCTTTCTCCGCATCCTCGCCAGCATCTGCCGTTTCTTGTCTAGCCAAGCTGTGGAGAGAGCCAAGATGCCTTCAACAGACAGGGACAGAGAGGATGTGGTCCACGGGCGCAGTGGAGGAGGACTCCGCCATCAGAAAGGACGATCGCCCGCCGTTTGCATCGACACCGGGCCTGGGGAGGTCAGTCAAGCAGGGAAAGTCCGTTACCACGTGGTGTCACTCAGTTGTGGGGTGTAAGGAAGAGCGTGGAGGGCCACAGGAGAAGCGGGGGGTCAGACGGGGAGATGAACCGTGCGAGACTATGGAGTCTGGGAAACCGAGGGCTTCAGAGGGGAGGGGTGGGGGCTGGGGGAGCCTGGTGGTGGTACTGAGGACGGCGCGGACCGCACGGAGCACTGGGTGTTCCACGCAAACACTGCATCGGGACGCGAATGACATCCGAAACTGATGACGGACCGTGTGGGGACCAACACGACATCAAAAAGGAAGAGACGGTGGTCGGCTTCGTTTGTTTGCTCAGTCTGTGAGTCTTCTCGAGTCCTTGGGGTTGATTTTGCTGCTTGGATCAGTAGAACACGGTCATGGTTCCTGTTCAAACCCTTGCTGAGCAGTGTCTTCCCTCCTTCCCTCCCTCCACCCTGAGCCCTTCCCTTCCTCCCGCACCCTGCGCCCTCCCCTCCCTCCCGCACCCTGCGCCCTCCCCTCCTCATCGGTAACTGATTCCATTTGCGTTCACAGCTGTCTTGAGCCATAGCTCACGTCCCTTTCAACGCACTCATTTCAAGTGTGTGTTTCGGGGTTGTAATGTTCACAGGACCGTGCGGCCATCACCATGTCTGCATTCGAGCGCCGTCCTCGCCCAGAGCAACCCCACACTATCAGGAGCTGCTCCCTGTGGCCTATGGTGGCCCCCTGGCCACAGCAACCAAGAATCTATTTTCTGTCTGCAGGTGGGCCAGTTCTGGACACGGCTGGTGGTGTTCTGTGAGCGGTGTCCTTCACAGGGCGCGAGGCTTCTGGGCTCATCCGTGTGGCCACGCGGCATCCCTGTTATGGCCAGGGAGCTTGTCTTCTGTGGGTAGAGCACGTTTCCGCCCTTCGGGGGTGGCCCACCTTCCAGCCATCGTGGACGACACTGCCGCGATCGTTCCTGCGCACTTTCTCCCGTGGACGCGTGGTCTCCTTTCTCTCAGGTGTGAGCGGAGGACGGACCTGCTGGGACATGGTGTCTCTCTGTGTGGAAGTCCAGGACAGCTTCTGGGAGTGGACACACCAGCTGCTCTCCCCCCCAACAGCTGTGAGGCTCCAGGCTCCCCCTGGCCCTGGGCCTTGTCGGCCTGTCTCCCTGGAGCCATTCTGGTGGGTACCCAGTGATCTTGTGATGCCCATGATTTTCCTTTCCCTGGCGGTTAATCATCCTTTCATTAGGTCATTGACATTTGTATATCTGCCCTGGAGAAGTGCTTACTTACGGTCTTTTTTATTTTTTGTTTAAGTGGGCTCTACGCCCGGCACAGAGCCCAGCTTGGGGCTTAAACTCAAGACCCTGAGATCGTGACCTGAGCTGTCAAGAGTCGGACATTCCCCTGACTGAGCCAGCCAGGCGCACTGCTTTGTTCTTTTCTGATTGTATTCTTGCATTCTTAGTCCTTCTGTCGTTGGGCTGTAGGCAGTCTTTACTTGCTCTGCGTACGTGCCCTTCCCAGACATAAGATTCGTAAATATTTTCTCCTGTCTTTGGGTGATCTTCAATCTTGACGGTGCCCTTTGAAGCACAAAAGCCTTTATTTTTCTCTTGTCGTGTACTCTCGGTGTTTAGGAAGGCTTTGCCAAACCCAAGGTCACAATTTACGTCCGTTTATAGTGTTCGCTATAGCTGAGAAGTTTGGTCCATTTTGAGTTAACTCGTGTGTGAGGAGTGAGGGAGGGCCCACCTTCCTCCCCCTGCAGACATGTGTTCCCCGCTTTGTTGGAAAGGTGATTCTTTCCTTGTTGAACGATTTTGGCACCTTTGTCAAAAGTGAACAGACTTGAGTTGCAAGGTTCGTTCTGGATTCTTGGTTCTGTTGTTTATCCATACATCTGTCCTCCCACCACTGTCCCACTGTCTTACTACTGTAGCTTTTTCCTACGTTGTACACCTGGGCAGTGTTTCCACCTAGGAACAGAGAGCATCTCTACGTGTTCGTCAGAAGCTGGCAGGTGCCTTCCTTTTCTTGCTGCCTGTCCTTCCCTGCCCCACAGACCCTCGCTCCTTTCCCGGATCTGCCCCCTCCGTTCGGATACCCGTTGGCCCACCCACGAGCACGTAGTCTCTCGGCTGCTCGCACCGGGCCTTCCACTGCTGCCGTCTGTCGCAATGACAGATGATGTGTTCATGAGTATCGTGCCTGGTCGTAGTCCGGGAGGCCTTCGGAGATCCGCTGGGTAGGAGGTAGCTGCGAGTGCCTGTGCAGAGTAGGCGGCCCAGATCCCCATCCCCGAGCCGAGCCGCGTGCAACCATCCCCACGGCGTCCAGGAGCTTTCTGACCAGTGAACGGTGTCTCAGACACGTCGTCATCAGCACCTCTCACATGTGAATGAGGCTGAACGTCCCCATGTGTAATGCCTGTTCACGTACATACGGTCTAAGTCGTCTGTTCAGGTCTTTTGCCCGTTTGTTTTCCACAGGATCATTAACTGGTTTGTGGCTTTAAAGTCCGTTTCGCATCAAGGATCTGATCCAGCCTTTACCTCCGCGACGTGGTCCCCTTCGCTCAGTCTGTCATTCGTCTTTCCTGGAGAGAGGGTGTTCTGCTTGGCCGTGCGCATGTTTCTGAGTTACAAGGCTCAGGCTCCCATCGCGTCTGGACCCGTGGTGGGACGAGCGTCCTGTCCACCAGGCCGTGGAAAAACCGGCCTCATCGTTTCACGCCGCAGTCTCGGACCATTGGAGAGTTTGCTCCCGCACGGGGTGTGGAGAACGGACCTGATCTCGCCTCTCTCCACACAGCGCGCCGGCTGTCCCAGCACCGTGTGCTACAGCGTCCGTCTTGGCTGTACCGACCGGAGAGGACATCTGTCCGTCCACGCTGGGCTGCTTCTGCGCTCCATCCAGCTGCTGAGCTGAGCAACGTGCTTCGGCTGGACTGTGTCGCTTGTTCACCCGTCCTTTACGGAGGCCCCGTGGCTTTCGCATGGCAGCTTGGAGCCCTGACATCTGGTGACTCCGAAGCCACACCCAGCAACCGTGGGAGCCTGCCGTGTACACGTGTCCACCGTCTGGTTACTTGTGGCTGCGCAGCTGACCGCCTGAGATGTGGCACGTTAAAACCCCGTTTGTGAGCCCAGATTCACCGGACTCGGCTTCACACCAGAAGTGGCCGGCCCAGAGAGCCCTTGCTCCCTGCGAGGCTGGTTGGAGGACGGTGACCTTGTCTGCCGTGTCTGTGCGCCCGGGAGGTTTTCTGTGTCTCCTCACACAGGTGTCACACCCGTCTCGGTACGTCTGCTTGCCAGCTGCTGACTCTGTTTCCCTCCTGTCATCCGTGTGCTCTTCCCTCTTCTCTCCCCCGCCGCAGGGTCACTGTGTCCGCATCTGACGGTGGCTGCTATTCGCAGGTTACCTTCTGTCTGAACTTGCCGATTTGTCTGAGTTCGTTTCTCATAGATAACCTGGATTTTCCCAGCGTAATACTATCCCTTCAGCTGCACACATAGGTACTTTCACTTTTTTTCTAATTTTCAGGCCTGTGGTTGTTTCCCTTGTGTGGTGACGCTGGCTGACATGCCGCAGTAGCAGAGACCACGGGGAAGCCGTGGGCATCCCTCAGGAGGGCCCCTTCCGGACATGCCGGCCTCTGTCGGGGCAGACCCACACTGGAGAGCGTTCATGCCCTTCAGTCAGCCAAAGCACTTGTAATTACAACAGTGCTGAATTTTGTTAGTTTCTCTCTTTTTTCTCCGGTGCATCTGTGGAGGTAATCGCATAGTTTTTCATTTTAGACCCATCATAGGATATTGAGAGATTTCCCAGGATCGAACCACCCTTGTATTCCTGTAAAAATCTCACGTGGTTGTTGGCCGTGATTCTGACTGCTGGGATCTGTTTGCCAGTATTTTGAAATTTACATTAACGTTCATAAGCGATACTGGTCTAAAATTCTCTTGTACGTATCGGTGCTTGTCTGTATCAGTTTTTGTTTTGTGTGTGTGTTTGTGTTTTTAAAGATTTTATGTATTTATTTGACAGTGCAAGAGCGCACAAGCAGGGGGAGAGGCAGACGGAGAGGGCCAAGCAGCCTCCCTGCCAAGCAAGAAGCCTGATGTGGGACTCGATCCCAGGACCCAGCGATCATGACCTCAGTTGAAGGCAGACACTTCACCAACGGAGCCCCCGGCACCCCGTCTGTGTCAGTTCTAGGTATGTTGTACGTGCTTACGTGCTTGCTAAAAGCAAACTGAACTCTGCTCTCCACAGCCTGCGCAAATGTGGTGGGTCTTTCGTGAAACCATCTTGTGGCGCTTTTTGGGGTGGGGGAACTCCCTGATGAATTTCCGACTTTTCTTCTCTGGAAATTGGTCTCTTTAAGCTTTCTCTCTCTGTTGGGGTTGATCTTGGTTTTTTTTTTTTTTTTTTCCTAGAAAATTTTTTTTCCTAGAAAATTACTCATTTCATCTAAGCTACCAGTTTTTTTAGATTGTGTGTGTAGAGGGCTCACACGTTTCTGAAGCGACTCAGGCTTCAGGGTCCGCCCAGCTGAGCACAGAACTGTGAGCCGACAGTCGTCCTTCTTGTCTTTCTTGGTGCCAGTGCAGCGAGGTGTTCTGATGCGCCTTGCGTGAAATGCGGGAACTGGAAACCAAACCCAGTCTGTGACGCGTTAGCTCTCAACACGGTCGCCTCGTGGGTGGGTGTTCTGACCGTCCTGGAAATAATACCACCTCTGTCGCCTTCAGCATCCAGGCCACACGGTTCCCTGCCCAGGGCTCGTGCCTTTGCTTCAGCAGGAGACTGAAACAAGAGCGTCCGCGTGGCCCCCGGCCCCATGGGCTGGTTGTTCACTGCAGGCTCTGCAGGCTGCAGCGTAGGGGCTGTGGGGACGGAGTTAACGGCGCTTTACACAGTCCTCATTCTCCGTTAACAGTTCACACTGAAGCCAGCGGCCTCCTCCTGGGCCCCTTCCTGGGGGAGAACAGCTAGAGGTTTGTCTCTGTTCTCAGACGTCCGGTGTGGGATGGAGCCCGTCCCACTCTTGGGCCGTGGGTGGACGTCCCTGGTGGCCCCCGTCAGAGTCCCCCTGTCACTGCCGCTCCCCGGTTTCCCAGGAGGTTGCTTCTGTCCCCAGTGAGATTCCCTCGCCAGCAGCCTCTGGGACAGGACGTGGGGGCGGGAGCCCTTGCGGCCGACACAGGAGGCTCCTGGTGGGGCAGGGTGGGGGGCAGTGAGAGGCAGGAGGGGAACAGCCGCAAGGGTGTCCTCAGTCCACAGCCAGCACGGCAGGCGGAGGACCCTGCCAGAAGCACAGACTGCGGGGAGCACGGGTTTCCCGCCGTGTAGCTCCGGTGGAGGCCGGCTCCACACCTGCTATAGGCGGCGGTCGGGTCCCAGCATGCTCCGTCCTGCTCTGGGTGTGGGTGGTTTCTCCAGACTAAGGGATGCAGACGGTGGTCCCGGGGACCGACCCGGGCACTGGGCAGTGCTGCCCGGGGCGGTGGTCCGGACGCCTGCCGTGGCAGCCGCGAGCCTCACAGAACAGGTGCTCGCGAAGACAGGTGTTTGTCAGATCGCGTCCGTGGTGGTGGGTGCAGATACGGGGTGTTTCTTCCCCTCGGGACTTGTTTCAAGACGCACCGAGTAGCTGTGAGGACGTTCCACTGGTTCTGAGCCCCGCCTGGCATCCAGCGTGCCAACCCCACAGGGGCCGCCAGGCCCCGTACCAGTGACCCACACCGTCCGCCTGTTCCGGACCGCAGAGCGGGGATGGCGTGCCGGGGTCTGCAGGAGCGGGGAGCCCGGGTCGGCAGGCAGCAGACTCTGGGTACGCCCGACGGCTCACAGGAACGGTCGGCGCGGTTGAGACGTCGAACTGCCCGGCACACCGGAGGCTGGGGCCGGTGTTGCGTGCTGCAGCTGCGTCTCGGGCTCCTGATGACGGGCGGGTCTCCCGGGCCGGTAGCTCCGGACCACTGTGGGTGTCCTGCTGCTGCTGTTACTCCGCGTGTCGAGCGGCACGGGCCTGCTCTGTGGTCCCGAAGCTCTGCTGTGCGGGGGGTCTCGAGGGGCAAAAAGCAGGTGTTGGCAGAGCCAGGGTCATCCGTGGTGGCCGTGGGGGGGCCCTTTGAGTTGCTGGCGAAGTCCGCTGCTCGCCGTGGCGGGACAGAGACCCCTCGCCCGCAGGGTGTGCCGCCCGCAGGGTGCGCTGCACGGCCCTTGCCCTGCTCAGCCTCCTCCGGTCCGGGCCCTCTTCCCAGGATCCCCGGGAGCAGGCCTCCCACCTCCAAGGGTGTCTGTGTTCACCTTGGATCCACCTGGTGCTCGGGGCCAGACCGCTGGACGCCGCGGCAGAGCCCCTTCCCCACGACGGGGACACCTGCGCAAGCCCCAGGGGGTTCGGATGGGGACATCTTTGGGGGCCCATTGTCTGTGCCCGTCATAATGTCATGTGCCTGGTTTTCCGCTGGAATTCCTGTCCTTTTTCTGAACGTTGATGCGCTGAAGTTTCTCGTCTGTGCTAGGTACGTTTTTTAATTGCAGATCCCCTTGTTCAGCCTTCTGCCTGCTTGTTCGTTTCACGGTTTACCCCATGTCGCATGAACCGTTCACACGGGTGTCATCAAGTTAACTTTGATCTCGCGGGTTATGCTGCTGGCGACTGGGGGGGTTTTCCCCATTCTGTGTCCCAGAGACGCCACCCTGTGTCATCGGCTGTTAGTCCTGTAGTTTCCTCTTCCCCGTGCCCCTGGAACTCACCCTTGTTTGTGGTACGACTGGGTCTTATGGTATTTCAGAGTCACAAACCACCCCGAAACTTGGCGGTGTAAGCAACTCTTTTTCCTGTGTGCGTGGCTCCTTGGGTCAGGGGTGCAGACGGGGCCTGTTTCCGCTCTGCACTGGTGGGAGCTAGAATCCTCCAGAAGCTTCTCCCCGTGTACGTAGGGGTCGGACACTGGCCAGCTCTGAGTCTGTCCCCACGGAGAAGAGAGCTCCCCCTGCCCTCCCTGAGCAGCCGGTTAGTAACTTCCCCGGGAACACAGACAGTGTTCACTTGCGCTCGTGTGTCCGGACGTGTCCACAGGGCCCCGTCGGTCGGTCTGGTCTGCATATCTGGTGTCCCCGGACCATCTCTCTGCAGAGTTCCGGCCTGTCCCGCCGTCCCTCCGTCCTTGCTATTCTCATGAGTTTGCTTTGCGCCTTGGCCAGCCCATGCCGCAGCACAAAGCCTGGGCACCCAAGGTCGTCATCGGGTCCCACTTCTTTCCCGATGCCCAGTCTTTGTAGAGAAAGGCCGCGGCCCTCCCGCGGGCCATCACGGAGCTTGAACACCACAGGTCCTGCCCTCGAGTGCCCTGTGCGTGCCTCACGGAGAGTCTCTTAGACTCGTCCCTGTCGGCCCTGCTTCCTGTGTCCCCAGAGGCCAACGCAGCAACCGCTGCACATTCCAGCTCAGACCGGCTTGGCCTGTTCTAGAAGGTCCCACAGCCGCACCATGCAAGCTCCGTCCTTGGGGCCTGGCTCCTCCAGCTCACGTGTGGGCTCTGTGCACAGACTGGGTCTCAGGAGCGCACAGCCCTGGGTCTCTGCCCCGCTGTGTCGTGCGCCTCGCTCGGCCTGCGTGCTGGCGCGCGCAGGTGCTGGGTCACGGGCAGTTTCCGGCTCTGAGGCATGCGGCCGCCACGACAGCCCCTCCGTGTGCACCTGCCGGTTTTCCCAGGTAAACGCCGCGGGGGGACTCGTAGGGATTGCTGGGAGCTTAACTTAAGGTAAAAATCCATCCTTGCCCAAGGCAGTCACCACGGAAGCAAGGTTGTCAGCGGCGTGGCCAGTTCTCTGTGTTCTCGTGGTCCCCGGCTGCTGGGTAACCACCGAGACGTGGCCACGTCACTGCCCTGTCTCCCTCAGATCGGTCTCCCGTTCCTTTGCGGCCACTGACCCAGCCTCGGGCTGGACTGGGGCCGCTGCCGCCTCGGAGCTCGGGTAACTTCCCATCGGGCGCCTTCCCGAGCGCGTCCCTGGCGCAGCGAGCACTGGGTCCTGCTCTGTTCCAGCCGAAGGAGCACGTGGACCCCAGGCGGCCCTGGGTGCGTCTGCCTTTACGGAGACTGATGGTGTGGGTGGGCGTGGGTGGGTCGTCTTCCCTTGTCTGCCTGTCTGTCCTCCTCCATTGCCCCTGCCTCCCTCCGAGTCCATCCCTGTTCTTACTCCATTTTCCGGCCCCTCTTTGAACCAGACGCCTTTTCCTGCGTTCCTGGGCGGCACGCCCTCCCCCTGCACGATCACGGCCCATTTCCCCTCGGGAAAGGGCCACCTCGCTCCCATTTCACTGCCCTGTGCAGAGGCTTCTGTGTCTCGTTCTTGTCGCAGTTGTAGCGTTTGTGTTTTCACAAAAACGTGCCTTTCATCTGCATTTTCTGAGGAATGTGTAACTTTAAAATACGTTGTTCTTGTTTTGGCAAATCTCATGTTCGTAGTTGTCAGGGGTTGTATGTTTTGTTTATTTGCGCTTTCTTGTCTGGTTGTTGTTGTTGTTGTTTTTAAGATTTTTATTTGAGGGCGCCCGGGTGGCTCAGTCCTTAGGCATCTGCCTTTGCCTCAGGTCACGATCTCAGGGTCCTGGGACTGAGCCCTGCATCGGGCGCTCTGCGAGGCAGGAAGCCTGCTTCT